ATAGACCAGTTATCATGTATGCTGAATTATTTTACAGACAAGGATTTCTTTGAAATGAAGAACTAGACATACAAACCACAATTTCTCATATAAACTCTCTTGGTATTTCATTGAAAATGCTTTTTAGAATGGATTACAAGTAAATTGTTAATGTTGGACAACATGAGAACTCATATTTACACATAACTGGGATGATCATTTAAAAGTAAAATATCAAGTCTAACTCAGATCAGACTCAGTTTGAGTTTAAGTAACGATTCAATAAAACACCTAGATCTTATGTTAAACAGCTGTTCCTGTTGGTTTAATCATTTTAACTGTTACCACAATACATTAAAATATAATTATGCTTCTGTTTTAACATAATACATGAGTTGTTCGTAGGTTTTGTATCCATTGGATACAATAAATCACTTTAGGATTGAGGTGTGTGCTTTCTGATCAAAGGAAGTMATTAGTTACTTTTCAGCTTATAGACACTGAAATCATTAAGTTGAGTTTATATATTTGTATATCTACCTTTAATGTTCTCCTGTAGCTTAAAACAAGTTTCTGAACTGTAAACCTAAAACTAGTAATACAGGATTATTGTACGTTTTGCTTAAGCCCATTAGGGGAATGTGCCAAAAGAAAGTACAAACTCTACTAACCGTATATGACATTTGATATGAAAGCATTTTTTGTTTGTTTTCACTCGAGCTTGTCAGAAAACTGAGTAGATGAGTTTAACTAACTTTTCTTAGTGGATCAAAATGACTGATGGATGTACCCTGAAACTTTCAAAGGGGTGCAGGTTAAGCAGAATTGTTGCTGCATGTTTGATCTAAAATAGGAGGGAATAAATGAGACATTTTTTGTCTGTTTCAAGTATCAGCCACTCCGTCTGTATAAYAATCAGTACAGTAAACGAGTGTGTYAGGTATAAAACTGTGGTGGAGCAGAGACGTCTCATTTAGAAAGTGAAAGTGAAATGAACCAGTTTTTCCCCCTTCTTAAGYACTTGGTCAAAAGTATTTTTATTTGTAGTTTTTGCTCCTTGTAACCAGCCCTGAGTTAAACTTTCTTGAGAACAAAACTGAATTTAGCTTATYTATTTTTAAATGCATTTACACATAAAACTTAGGAAAAACAAGTCAGTCATAAATCAATTTGTCATATTTTTCCTTTTTGTCTTACACTAGTGTAGCTTTGTACTAACCTTTCTGTTTTTTTAATTGAAGGTAGCACCTTATATCAAACACTAATTACAGGCATGAGCTCAGCTCAGCTGTTGTGTGAAAACAATACTAATCACGGAAGAGGAAATCCACAAAAGGGTGAAGCATTAATGTCTTTCTCACAGCACTGGAACCTGTACAAATGTCATTTACAAATCTGTGAACATTAATTACAAAACAGAAGTCATGGACAGTCCATTCATGCACACAAATGGATTGTCCATCTGCATAAATTATAAATATAAGAACACATTAAAAAAAGAGTTCAAATGTTSTTTCTTTGTCATCACTGATTTGAGWTGGGCACTGTTGTATACTGATTATACTGTACTACATTTTACAACAATTACAGTAGTGTTGCAGAGTTAAAGACAACRGATGTGAGATTGCTTAGTTTTCAATCTAAACATGTCAACCATTAAAAGCAATTTTCAAATCAGAAATTAGAAATATAAGACATTGACAGCTCAGATTCTATGTAAATGAAAAAGTTGAACAACATATTTGCTTTTACAGCTACATAAATTTCAATTCATATTAAACATGTCCCAGTTTGATTTGAAATATTTTAACAATTAACTGTTTGCACTGGTACTGTTATAATTTACAGTAAGTATTGTGTATAATTGATCTTCACTTCACTMCATTTGGTTTGTAATTACATCCTCACGGATTCTCAGCACTTTATGCAAACTGGGTTGTGATATATTTTTTGACAGTATCGATCAGCACATCTCATGTTTCTTTGGTTTACAAGGAGAATATTTATGAAAATGTAAAACATGACAAGACGACTGCATTTTATACTGCTTCCTTTACAGTATGTAATCAGACATTTTTGTCTAAACTAATTTGTAAGTGAACATACAACAATAAACAATGGGGCTCAACATTTCACCTAAGGGCACATGGCGGGGATGGGGATTTTAGCCTTTTACTGGAAGACGATTCACTGTACGTTTGAGAAACACTACTGTTTCCAACACAGCTATTCAGACATTTTCTTTACCTGCTTTTCCATTCAGGGTCACAGGGAGCTGGTGTTTATCTCCAGCGTTCACTGGGCGAGAGGCAGGGGACGCACTGGACAGGTCACAAGTCCATTACAGGGACACAGGGACAAAACAAGACGGACAAAGATCGACACTCACCTACTGACAACTTAGTTACCAGTTAACCTAACATGCTTGTTTTTGGTCTGTGGAAGGAAACTGGAGCCAAAGAAAACATGCATTTTCAAAAACATGAGAACTACACACAGAAAGGCTGCATGTTTCATTGTAAAATATTCTGAGCTTTCTAAAAAGATTTAAATTTGAAATTTTAAAAGTTTATATTTTCTCACATTAAAGAGAAAATCAAGAAACACATTTCATAAATATTTAATTTCAGTGTTGAAGACACAGTATGTCATTACTATACACAGATTTTTAATACTTTTCTTTTTGT